CATCATTGGAATAGTGTCTGATCGATCTGTTCACAAAGGAAGGGCCACAGAGAGACATAGTATGCATGTTTATAACATGGCATAACTGATGTTTAATTCAAGTGTTTAGTTGATTACTCAAAACGTTATACAATGAATAAAGTATAATTAACATGGTGATTAAATAATAAGATTATCATGAATTGAATTGTAGATTGTCTAAGGGTTTAGACATAGTATTGGTTTTGCTACAATGTTCATGAGTACTTGGAAAATGGGGATTTTAAGTATGGGATAAACCCACGCTCAAAGAATTACTTCATGGATTTCATCACGAGTAATTTTGAGACGATAATATCTTATATTCTTAAAACGGAGATATATGAGTTGTTGTTTACGAGTCGGTTGTGCATTGATAATACATAAACACATCAGTAACTTAATGTTATAAAACGTATTGTTGTGCGTGATTTTATGAGTGAATAGTGCAAGCATATAAGTCGAAGTTTATCTGTTCCTTTTGCCCTAACGGGAAAAGCGATATTTGTGGGCCCCTCGATGATTTGATGTCGACATCTAAAGCGCTTGGCCAAGCCTGGACTGAATTGATGTGTTCAATTGGTAGTCTGATTCAGTCGTCATAAATCAGAAATCGGGAAACAAAACTTGGACATTGAGACTGATTATAATCCATGTCTCATGTCCGTACGATATATTGTAGAACGGAGGAATATTTGATCACTTATCTTAGGACTTATAACTGACTGGGTAAGAGTTCGACAGTGACTTTGAGAACTACAATTTGCTATTTAGTTTTTGAAGTTATACTAGCAACTATAGTTATTAGACTTATCCAAGTGGGAGAATGTTGGATTAGGTTTCTATGCCCATAACTATAATTGGTATATACTTGAATTGATGGTAGCACAGTCCTTTTGGGTTGCCCTCAAAACTAGCAACTAGACATGATGACTTTTGGAGAGAGGTTTAATTTATTATTTGAATAATAAATTGAGATAATTGATTTATTAATGTATTATGAAAGTAATATACTAATTAGAAATCATATTATTTAATTAATAGTTAATAAGAAATTAATTGGAATTAATTTTGAGATTAATTGAATTAATTAAAAGTGCAAGAGCTGTTTGACAATTTATTGATAGTTGAGGAAATGGGCTCTAGAACCTCCCTAGAAGAGGTTGGACGAAAATCACTAGGAAGGCCCTAGAATTTTCGTCCAAGGGCTCTTGGATGGGAGTTCATGTGCTGCTTGGTCCATAAGCTAAGGGAATTAGGGTTTCCTCCTAAAACCCTAGCTTTGGCTCTAAGCTACCTCACCTATTTAAAGGGTCTTACCCCTTCTCATTTCGGCCACTTTATTCCTTAGAGGAATAGCCGAAATTCCTAGCTCTCCTTATCCTCTCTCCTCTCTCATCCTATTGCTAGTGTTGGGTGTAAACCATTAGAGGCGTGTCACTTGTGACGCTTGCTCTCAAGGTTCAAGAAGACTTGGATTTTCATTGTTATTACTACATAACAATCAAAGGTATGTTTACTAACCCTAGTTATGATTTTTGAAAATTATATAGATCTCCTAGGGTTTTCTATTTGATGTTCAAAAGTTGTATGTTCAATTAGAGAAAACATAGATCCAAGAATTAGGGTTGCATGCACACATATGTTTTTGTTTGTTGCTCAAAACCCATCAGTAGGTTGGATGATCAGGGAGTTCGGTTTGTGTTTTGGAGTCCAAGGGTATATCGATAAAGTGGTAGTTCGGGTCTTTTATGGATTTTGGATTTTTGTTTGGAAAGTTTTATGGCAAGGGGGAGTTGATAGAACTGTAGAGCTTCTCATTACCTTTCCGTGGATATAAAGATCATCAAAAACGGAGCTGGAACGAAGAAGTTATGGCTTTCGGAAGTTGGTGGCTTTAAGTTAAGCCTATTACGCGGGGCATACATAAGGAGTACGTCGGGTGTACAAGGCACAAGGATCGCCCGCATCTATTGGAGTCCGCTGGGTGTATTAGGAGTACGCAGGGCGCACTCCAGTCTCATACAAACCCTAATTTAGGGCCTTGGACCCTATTTAATGATCTTAACTCCACTCCAACCCCTCCTATCTTCAGCCTCCATCCCATTAAACCCTAGCTTCCATTTGAGAATTTTGTGGTTTTTAGTGTGTCTTGGAGAAGGAGTTCTTGTTGGAAGCATTGCTTGGCTTGGAGCTTGTAGATCCAAGCTCTAATCATCTTCATCAACTTCCAGGAGGTATAAAGTTTCTAACTCGATGAATCTATGTGTTAGATCTAGCCTAGGGTGTGTTTTGGGTTTATTTTGGTCCTTAGAGTCATCCTTGTGAGTATGGGCTACTCCAAGAGCTTAGAATGTTGGATCTTAGCACTTCTAAGGTTGTAAGTTCATAAAAATGTCATCTTGATGGGTTTGGGTGAGTCATGATTAAGTTGGTGTTCATATTATGGGTTTAGAAGGATAAAAATGGGTTTTGGGTTCCATTAAGGCATGCAAGGGAGTAAAGTTGGCAACTTTATGGTTTAAGACCTTGTCTAGGGATCAGATCTGTGTGTGGACAACTTGACTTAACCCAATAAGAGCTTAATGTGGATTTTTGGGCCTCTGATGAGTACGTTGGGCGTACGTTGAAAGTACGCTCAGCGTAGTGCTAGTATGTGCATCGTTTGCTTGTACGTGGTGCTTCGGGGTGAGTACGCGGGGTATACATTTCTGGTACGCAGGGCGTACTCCCCAGAGTGTCCATTTTGGGCCTTTTAGGGTTTAAGCCTTGTTGGGCCATTAGGCTTTTGACTTTGGGCCATAGATAGACTATGGGCTTTCTTGGAATTAGGTTCATGATGGTTTTTGGGCCCAATTAGGAAGTTGGGCTTTTTGAGCAAATGGATTGGGCCTTGGTTTTGGGCCTAGTAAGAAAAGGGTAAAAGGGTCTTTTACCCTGAATATTGGACAAGTAATCTAGATTCTTGATTATGGATCGAGATCCAATTATTAATTGGATCTTATTTGATGATGTTAGCGCGGGGATGTTCCGGATTAGCAAAAACGAGATTTTATCTGAGAGATTCAGCGACTTGAGGTGAGTTTTCCTTCACTGTATCTGTGGGTCGAAGGCACCAATGCCGACCCACTAGTTTATGATGTAGTGTGATGATTATCTTTGTGACAGTTGTCAGTTGTGCCTGTATTTGCTTGACGACTCTGTGATTCTTGTTATGATATTATGTGGTAGTAGTAGGGGGTGAAATAGACCCGGTATCCGATTGAAATAAACCGAAAGGGATTGCAAACACCCATATATGTTTGATAGTATTCGGTTGAAATAGACTGAAGGGGATTGAAAACACCCAGATATGTTTGACAACATTCGGTTGAAATAGACCGAAGGGGATTGTAAGCACCCAAATATGCTTGATAGTATCCGGTTGAAACAGACTGAAGGGGTAGACAAACACCCATATATGTTTGGATGTATGTTTGTTTAGTATGTGGTAGTTGGGGGAAACTCAATAAGCTTTGTGCTTACAGTTTACAGTCTATGTTTCAAGTACTTCTGTTCGAAAAGGAAGAGTTCGGGATGACTGCAGTGCACACACCACATTGTTCCGCATTTTATAAAACTCTGATGTACTTGGATGTTTATTGATACCCTTTGATTCACTATGGTTTTTATGATATTGTTTGGATAATGGTTTATTTAATTTAAAAAATCGAAACTTTTAATATTAGTTTTTGGGACGTTACAAAATCACACAGAAAGCACATAACACAATTTAGCTATTGAAATTTTGTGATTTGATATTTAGGTTATGATAGGAAAGAGAGATACGAAAGATACGGAGGAAAGAGAAAATGACTCATATTTTATCTTTTTTCTTTAAATTATAAACAAATACAAAACAATAAAATAATTAAAAAAGAAGTTCATAAGAGTATTATAGTTTTCTCATATGTGTCGGGGACGAAAAACGCAACAAATCCGAATAAAAAAAAATATTAGAAACCAAACACAAAATTGAGGTAAACCATGGAAACGATTTCAATAATTTGTTCTATTTTTATCAACTTAACAAAATTGGTTACAATAGTTATTAGACCGGAGGGTGTGGGAGGGATGTTTCCCTCACTTTTTGTGGGTCACACCATTTTTTCTCTCACTTTTCTTTTCGTCACCTAAAACCCAAGGAATGGGTTGGAAGCTTCCCTCATTATTTTTTTATATTTTTTTAAAAATATATTTCATACATATATTATATTCATTTTGTAAGGAATTAAAAACCATGAATTTTAATATATATTTTATATTTTTTTGATAGATATATAAATAATTTTATAAATATTATAAAGGATAAAAAGAAAAAAAAAAAAAAAAAAAAAACCTGTCCAATAGCAGAGAGTGTGCGGCACTCCCTCCCCCACCTCTTTCCCGCGGATGTTTCCTTCACCCGTGTTCAAGAGTGAGGAAGCTCCCTCACCCCTTTCCCGCTCCCACTCCGGCCTTACACATCCACTGTTTTGATCATCCTCTTGTTTCCACAGCCAGGCAATAGTCCCCCCACCTCCCACGGCTTCCAATTAGATCAATAACTCTTAAACAAAGAAAACGCAACTGTTTTGATCATCCTCTTATTTTCCAGAAGCTTTCTTATAACTTCCCCAAATTCCCTCGATCCCTCGCCGTAAGTTATTCACTTTCTTGCAGGTTGAATCCAAACAAATCAATTTTAGGGTGATGTGTTGTATTTTATGCTCCAAACCTGAAATCGACGTTGTATTCTGTTTTGTCCTGCTCTTTTTTTTTTTTTTTTTTTTTTTTTTTTTTCATTCTTCTGATTTCCGCTTCCAAACCTGAAATCGACTGTGTGTTATCATTTAGTAAAAGATACCGAAAAAAGAAAGAGAAAGAGACATACATCAGTCTTCCCGAAAGTATCAAAATTTACCAAAACCCTAAGGATCAAGAACTAAAAAACCCTAACTTGAATGGATCCTTGCTCAGAAAGCTCTAGCAACAGTCTCCAAGATTCCGGTAGCGTCTCCACTGTTGCATCTGGCTCCTCCTCCTCGCCTCCAGCAGTGGCCACCACCCCTAGCCGCTACGAGAACCAGAAACGCCGGGACTGGAACATCTTCTGCGAGTACCTGAAAAACCTGCATCCACCACTCTCTGTTTCACAATGCAGTAGTGCAAATGTGCTTGGATTCCTTTCTTACCTTGACCAGTTTGGAAAGACTAAGGTTCATAACCTGACATGTCCGTTTTATGGGCATCCGACATCGCCAGACCCTTGTTCTTGTCCACTGCGACAAGCTTGGGGTAGTGTGGATTCTTTGATTGGCCGTCTTAGGGCGGCTTATGAGGAGAACGGTGGTTCATATAAGACGAACCCTTTTGGGGCTGGAGCCGTGAGGCTTTACCTTCGAGAGGTTCGTGATTCACAATCAAAAGCAAGAGGGATCAGCTACGAGAAGAAGAAACGAAAACGGTTGCCTCCACAAGGTGATGTTTCTTGAAGTCAACAAACACAAATGAAGCAGGAAGCGGGTGACTATTATGTTGGATCTAGGTATGCATTCATCTTTAATTTTGTTCTTCCCATGTTGAATTATCAAGACTGAAGAGTACTTCTATCTCTTGTTCTTGCTCGAAGGAACTACTGCTAGTGCTAGTGCTAGTTTTAATTTGTTTTCATTCGGATATGTAGAAAATAATGTCAAAAATGAAAAATCCTGACATCAGTTATGTGCGTACTATTCACTTTCCAAACCATCAAACTTGATCACTTTGAATTTGTTTTCAAAACTAACATATATATATATATATATATATATATATATATATATATATATATATATATATATATACCCTATATATATGTATTAGGGCCGGCCCTAGGGGAGTTCAAGATGTTCGACCGCACAGGCCTCTGGAAAAAATAGGGTCCGAAAATCATCCTATTAACTTAATAAATATATATATATATATATATATATATATATATATATATATATTGTTATTGTCTTTTTTCAGCATAATCAATCGTAACTTAGTTTAGTTGGTGAGTGCAGTGGCTTTTACTAACCCACCATAGTTCGATTCCAATACTACCCTTTTTTTTAATATGTTTTGCTACTTTAATATATTTAGGAATTTTTTATATAAACATAATTTTAATATATATATATATATATATATATATATATATATATATATATATATATATATATGCAATGACTAGTTTTGGTGTACTAGTCACTTCATTTTATCCTTTTATGGTACAAGTCATTGGATGTGAAGAACAAACAGAATCAAAGGTGACAAGAACAATTGAGAAAAGATCACTACTTCCACGTTTGATATATCTATATAGCAATACAATGTGCTTCATCATCAGTAAAAGTCAATACCAGTTCCGACATTAATGGTTTTCATTCCAAAGCCTCCTCAGAGCTCAAATCCTTGCTGGAATCCTATGCAAAATTTCTACAACTCCCATTCCACGATGCAGTGGAGCTTGTTACCAGTGTTGCATCCGGTCAAAAACCGTTGGAGGTTTTTTCTCCAAATCTGATTGACTGGATGAACTTTGCTGTGTGTTTAAATGCCTGGAATCTGAATTCCAACGGAATCACAATTCCGCTGAATTGGGAACTTTTATGTTCATTACTGCAACAATCTGTTTCATCATAGATAGAAACCGCAAAACCGTTAGTATCTTTCCCAGGAACCGACCTTTCCATTCTTGTCCAGTTAGTGACGGAGCCCCTGATGTGGCACGGTCTCATCATCCAGTCATGTGTCCGGTCATCCAGTAAAAAGACGAAGAAAATTCAATCATATCACTAAATAACACGATTGATCAAGTTTCTAAATGGTTAAAAGAACAAATCAATAAGTCAGTTGATGGGGACATTGACATTTTACTTTCGTCTATTAATTGTGATGATGGTGGGCCTGGCCCCGGAAAAGTTGTTAAGATTCTTGAAAAATTGGTTTCTTCGGTTGATGATTTGGAGGTTGGTGAAAGGATTTGTCATGCGGTTAAGCCGTGGAAGGCGGCTGATGTGGCGAGGAAGATGGTAACGGCTCAGGGAACTGCTTTGACTGACTTTCTTAATGTTTGTGATTCAAAAATAAAGGTTTTGCAGGGACTGAAACTTCAAATATAATAAGATTTGACGAGTGGGTCCATGAGGTTATTTGTACACTTAGTGTTTCATTTGTTGATCTATTTTGGTTTTTTAGGGTTTTTTTTTAAAGCTTTTTGTATGAGCAGAAATTTTGGAAACACATTTTATTTTTTGTAAATTGATGGCGTTTTGCTTTTGGAGATTGGATTTTAATTTTGTTATTTAAATGTTGTTTGTGTTTTTTGTTTTAATTGTTGGGGAAAAGATAGTTTTGGAGGTGTCAAAATTATGCATAAAGTTTTCAATCATTAATCTCATAAAATGCTAGAAAAGTAGCAATAGTTAGTGGTTACACCGAAACCCTCCTTTGGTTAGATTAATGAGCATTTTTAATTTAACTTCTCTGGCTTTGCCGAAAAAGGAGCCCAAAACTATATCAATCAACCCAAAAGGCTGTTGCATAGGAAGCTCAAAGTGTCGCTAAAATATTTTTATTTATTTATTTTAAATTTTAATGATACATGTCATCTTGTTGGGTGTAAGTTGGGTGTAACATTATATCAGGCTTTAAGATTTTTTATATCATATAAAACTTTCTGCTTTTGTGACGTCAGATATAAACGATGCTAATGGAATTATTATAATCGTTATTGAACGTAACATCAAATCAAATTTGTTAATAGTAAAGGGGAGGCAGATTTTCTTTAATTGTTGGGAAGTTGAAGCAAGTCAACCAACCATATGAGGAAATGCACCAAACCCTAACCATAACTCAATTATAACTAAACAATGAGTCACTGGGGTCCAACCCCATGGACACCTATGACCTGCCCAAAGTTCAAACCATTTTTTTTAATTACCAAAACGTGAAAGTTGAAACTTTTATCCTGTTTTTTATAACTTCTATTAAATGATAAGAAAAATCGAATTAGAACCTCAAAATTTTCAACTTATTTTTAGAACAAGCTTGAACCATTCAGTCATGTCACTTGTTGGTAGCCGAGAGCACAATACCAAAATACCAAAATCTATGTATTTGATTGCTACTTTTATTACTTTGTTCAACTAAAAAACCGATACAACAGAGAAACATGGAATATACCAAAATCTGATCTGGATGAAATTATGAACCCAAAAGCCAAAAGTGAAACTTGGCAAAAGATTTTCTGGACTGGACTGAATTCCTTCGGTTTGGTTTTAGAAAAAAAACAAATTGAACCGAATTATGCTCACTCAGTCACTCTAACAAAAGATGTTGATGGTCGACTCGGTGTGGTTCAACCAGTTTAACCCGGATCAGGATAGCCATTTGCCATGTCTCCATCACTACTATACAAAAAGTAGTGTCCTGCTTCATGTTAAAAAAATAAGCCTAGTGCTAAGTGGTTGCACCAAAATCATCTAAGTTTCCTTTGATTCCAACTTCACAATTGACCCAAAATCAACCTGACCCCATCACAGACTCTGTATATAAACCCACCCCTCTTCGTTATCTAAACACACAAACTAACCTTCACACTTCTTCACTCAGAAGTGTTCAGAAACAAGCTCAAAACCTCAACACAAGATCCCCATGATGTCCATATCTCAATCCAGCCTCCTTCTGAGCCTTCTGCTGTCTCTTGCTTTTACTACAATATTCGCAGAAACACATAACTATGAGTTCAAAGTAGGCCCTTATATTATATATAGTGTACCATCCATCGTCTTCATATACATTTTTTTGTAACTAATATTCATGTTAATTTCAAATTACTTTGATTTTCACAGGTTCAAGAACAAGCAGCAACAAGGCTATGCAGAAACCATAGAATAGTTACAGTCAACGGACAATTCCCTGGCCCCACTATAGACGTACAAAATGGAGATAGTCTTGCTATCAAAGTCACCAATGCTGCTCCTTACAATGTCACCATCCATTGGTAAGTATTTATACTTTTATCATTTACGCATAATTATTCTTGATCATTAACATTAATTATTTATTTTGCTTTTGAGACCCTAATGGTTGGTTGTTTTTCAGGCATGGATTGCGTCAACTGAGAAACCCATGGGCTGATGGGCCTGAATTTGTTACCCAATGCCCAATCCGACCAGGAGGAAGCTACACATACAGGTTCACCATAACCGACCAAGAGGGAACATTGTGGTGGCATGCTCATAGCAGATGGCTACGAGCTACAGTCTATGGTGCACTTGTTATTCGTCCAAAATCTGGTTCTTCCTACCCCTTCCCAAAGCCCACAATCGAGTTCCCTGTTGTTCTAAGTATGTAAATTCATGTCAGTTAAGTTGATTTCAGTTTTGGGTACTCAATTTAAACAATTTTCTGATTCAACAAACTGTTTTGTACTTCATTGTTGACGATGAAACAGGTGAATGGTGGGATAGAAAGGTCATCAGTGTCCTCCGACAAGCCTTATTCACAGGTGCAGCTCCCAATGTTTCTGATGCTCTCACCATTAACGGACAACCTGGTGATCTTTTCCGATGCTCAAGCCAAAGCACTACGAAACTTACTGTAAACAAAGGCGACACAGTTCTTCTGAGAGTCATCAATGCTGCACTCAATCAACAACTCTTCTTCAGTGTCGCTAACCACAAACTAACCGTGGTTGCCACTGATGCTGTTTACACCAAACAGTTTACAACAAATGTAATCATGGTTGGCCCTGGTCAAACCACGGATGTCCTTTTGACCGCAGATCAGCAGCCTGGGCGCTACTACATGGCTTCACGAGCTTACGCAAGTGCTAGAAACGCTCCGTTTGATAATACAACAGCCACTGCCATCTTGGAGTACAAATCTGCTAATTCACAGCCGATTTTACCTCAACTTCCGGCTTACAATGATACAAACACAGTCACTGCTTTTTCAAACCAAATAAAGAGTCCTGGTTATAAAGTAAATGTTCCTACTAAAATAGATGAAAATCTGTTCATGGCAGTGGGATTAGGATTCTTTAACTGCACCCCTGGACCTAGATGCCAAGGGCCTAATAACACACGCTTTGGTGCTAGCATGAATAACGTATCGTTTGTGCTTCCAAATCGCGTGTCTTTACTTCAAGCTTACACGCAAAACATTCCGAATATCTACACCACAAATTTTCCGCGTGTTCCGCCTTTGCAGTTTGATTACACTGGCAATGTCCCTCGTGGGCTGTGGCAACCGGTTAAGGGGACGAGACTTTACAAGCTCAAATTCGGGGCTAATGTGCAGATTGTGCTGCAAGATACTTCGATTTTCTCAACGGAAGATCATCCTGTTCATCTCCATGGATACCATTTCTACATCGTTGGTCAGGGTTTTGGTAATTTTAATCCTTCCAGAGATACTGCTAATTTCAATCTTGTTGATCCGCCACAAAGGAATACAATTGACGTACCAGTTGGAGGATGGGCTGTCATCAGATTCGTAGCTGATAACCCAGGTAAATTAAACCCACATGAATATATGAATCTTTAGTTGGAAAAACATAATCTCTCTTCTGAATCATTATGATTTTTAGAATTAAAAACATATATGGAGCTAATACTGGGATCTTTACAGGAGTTTGGCTGATGCACTGTCACATAGATACTCATTTGGCTTGGGGTTTTGCAATGGCTTTCATAGTTGAAAACGGAGTTGGGGAATCAGAGACGTTGCTGCCTCCTCCTTCCGATCTGCCTAAATGTTAAGATCATCACAATATGTCTTCGTTCGTGTGGCTTTTGCGTTTTTTTCTTTTCCACTTTGCTTAATTACACGAGCAAAGTACATAGTAGTGTTCATAGGTTTCACTTTCATCATACCTGCTTATACTATGCATTCTTGTGTGTAAGTTCCTTTGTTCTAAGGAAACGATAGATTTAATGATTCATCATCAGTTGATATACAGAAGTTGATGTCTTCTTGTACACCAATTAATTAAAGCTACAATGATTTGCATTCTTGTTTATTTAGCTTTTGATCAAACCACAAAAAAAAAAAAAAAAAAAAAAAAAAAAAAAAAAACTTGCACAGTATTTTAAAAATGTTTTTATTATATTTGTTTTTGATCAGAGACAACATATTACATCAAGGCCCTAGTATACATTAAACTAAATAGAAAAAAGTATATATAATATTTTTTTAACACACCCCCAGCGGTCCAAGCTGTAATTACCCAAATGCCCTTTGTAATAATGGCAACAATCTGGTGATGCAATTCCATTCCTTTCATATTTAACATTTAGTGCCTCTCACACACCTGAAAAATCATAGCAAACATATGTCTGGTTAAAGGAATTAGCATTTGATACAGACCAAAAAAATGCCCAAATGTTGACATAAAAAATTTAGGATTTTATGCTTACATGCCTTCCCCTTCCCCAAGCCCTAACGTTTTCTTAGTTGAAATGCCAAAGTAAACTGCTGTGCAGTTTAGGGAGGGAATTGTTAGTCTTTAATGGCTATAAAGACTTGGTCTTTAGCTGATTTGAATAGATCACTAAGTCATATATAGGAGTATTTGCTATGTATTAGTTCTTTTCATTTTTACTTATATACTCAATTTGCAGTAATCCACATGTGCTAATAGGATTTTTGCATCCGATTCTTGAAATTTGACACTGTATAATGCATGAAAAATGACTGTCATATTTGGGATATGCAAGTCATGTCTGATTTTAGCTCCAAAATTAACTCAAACCATGAATAAGCCGCTACACGAAATTAAGCATTCTTCTTGTATGTATAGTAAATTTAATTATTGATTTTTGTCTGAACAAGTAAAATACTGTCATACCAGTTTCAAATCCCAAATCAAAGTAAGATGATCTCAAAAGCATTGATAATTAGAACGTTTAGCTGATCAACCAAGATCAGCATGTAACTAACTTCTCAATGATTAAGTTGGAGACATTCCAGATGTTTTATCATAGAAATGCTATCCGGAAGATCTTTAATCTTTGTACATGACAGAGTTAGCTTCTCTAATGATTCTAATCGGCCAATATCTTCGGGTAACTTCTCAAGAAGCCAACAGAATTTAAGTTGGAGAGATTTTAGACGTTTCAACATACAAATGCTATCCGGAAGATGTTTAATCTTTGCAGATGACAAAGTTAGATTCTCCAAGCATTCTAATCGGCCAATATCCTCGGGTAAATTCTCAAGCAGCCAACAAGATATAAGTTGGAGAGATTGCAGATGTTTTAACATACAAATGCTATGAGGAAGACGTTTAATCATTGTGGATGACAAAGTGAGCTTCTTTAAATATTCTAACTGGCCAAGATCCTCAAAGAAGCCAACAGAATTCAAGTTTGAGAGATTGTAGATATGTCAAGTAACAAATGCTATCCGGAAGATGTTTAATCTTTGTAGATGACAAAATCAGTACCTCTAGATATTCTAACTGGTCAAGGTCCTTGGGCACCTCCGGATAGCCTTTGAGTTTAAGCTTTCTTAATCTCCATAACTCACAAATGCTTTCTGAAAACGTCTCAAGGCTTGTGCAAGCACATAGACCTTCAGAAATAAGTTTCTCAATATTTGTGTTCCTTGAGGGTAGACCACTGTCTGTATAAAAACATGTAAACCGGAACTTTGGCAAATTATTGTCGGGGTGAAATGGGCATCTTTCAAGGGACTCTGCAACCAGACGTAACTCAGCTAAAGAATCAACCTCCTCAAGTGATTCAACATAAAAAGATCTAAACCTTAGACAAGCACTTAGTTCTAAGCAGACAATCTCTTTTAGACATCCGGTGGGAGCATGAGTTCTACCAGATCATTACATTCACTAAGATCTAAATTCTTGAGATTTGGAGTCAACCCAATGTCAAGGGTCCTCAACTTTGAGTTGGTGATGTCGATTGATGTAATCTTTACACATCTAGCTGGCATGTGAAGTTCTACCAGATCCAAACAGTTCCTAAGATTTAAAAGCTCGAGATTCGGAGCTGACTGAAGGTTAAGGATCCTTAACTTTACATTAGAAAGGTCGAGCGATCTGAGTTTCAAACAACCGTTGGGAATATGAAATTCTACCAAATCAACACATCCTGAAAGAGACAAGATCTCAAGATTTGGAGCAATTCCAAGGTCAAGGGTCCTTAGCTTTGAATAACTGAGATCAAGGAATCTGAGCTTGTTAAGAACCTGGTATAAGCATAAAAAGAAGATAAATATTGGTGTGATAATGTATAGCATTAGAATGAATTATGCAAAACAATCAATCAACCATAATTATACCTTTTTTTCTCCACCCTCACAAAGTTGTACAATTCAGCTGTATTCCATCTCAAGTGAAACAAGATTATTTGCTTGAAATGTTTCGGGTAATGACCTAAAAGGGTAATAGCTCCACAACAGGATTCTTAAAGCATTAGGAAAGTATGGGCTGAGTTCATCACATTTCCAATTCCAGAAAGAATCTTTGAGAGACATTTCAAGATATCTAAGTTCCTTCATCTTTCTAAGGCCTTTCATGATAACTTCCGGATTGAGTTCCCGTGTGCTGAATTGTATATATCTTGTTGCTTCGGTACCCTGTAATGCAAGAGCAGCCAAATTGAGATTTGTAAATGTCTTAGTTTTCTCCAACTTACAGATTGACTTGATCCTTACCAAGTCATTAGCCAATATATCTTCAATTTCCATGTCAATCCACAATCTGCTATGTTCATTAGGCTTATACGGATGCAAACGACGGACAATATTCCTGCCCATTTCTACAAGATGGTCATGCATGAACACATACTTGTAGTTGTAACTAGAATTATGATGAATAGTTATGAGAAATTTTTGCTCAAGTACTCTTAAACCATTTCTAGCATGAAATCCACAACTTTCAAGTGCTTCGATTACAAACTGTTTACGCTCACCTTTCAATATGCATGCAACATCCAGGAATATTTCTTTGTAATCCTCCTCTAAACCGATATAGCTTAGTTCCAGTTTTTTCAGAGTTTCCATTAATGGAATTGTTTTTAGTCTGTCTATGGCATCTATCCATTCAAGCTCACTTTTACCACAAAGAAAGGATCCCAAAACTTTGATTGTTAAGGGAAGACCAGCAGCATAACTTATAACTTGTACTGATTTCTCTTCGTACCCTCGAATTGGCATCTCTTTCCCAAATGCATATCTACTAAAGAGGCAAACTGCTTCCTCAAATGATAACAGATTAACAACAAGAATCCGCTTCACTCGGTGTGCTACAAGCATTTGCTCATCTCTTGTTGTAATGATGATTCTACTTCCCGCCTTAAACCAATTAGGCTCACCAGCTAAGGCCTCAAGCTGGTCTGTATGATCCACATCATCTAGAACAAGAAGAACCTTTCTACCACGCATCATCTTCTTTATCATGCTTTTCCCCTCATACACACCACTTACACTAATGCCTTTATCATTTAAAACATCCGAAAGAAGTTGGTTTTGCAACGACTTCAAACCAAACAAAGAGGCATTTGAAACTTCCCTGACATTCTCAACGAAGCATTTACCTTCAAACCGAAAGGATATTTGATCGAAAACAGCTCTCGCCAAAGTTGTCTTCCCACCACCTCCCATCCCCTTGATCCCGATCATGCGAACATCATCACTACCCATTTCTAAAAATGACACAGCATCCTTTACACGGGTCTCCATGCCTACTAACTTTTCATCAAAACCGAAACTGATCGAATGTAAATCTAGTGAAATTTCTTCAACGATTTTTTGGATGAATTTGGCTTCATGCCTATATTAACCAAAATTCAATTAGGTTGCTTACAATAAATAGCACATGAACAATTAGTTTCCCAATCTATAACATATATATTTCATATATAAAATAGTAACATATATAGTGATATTTTGGCAAGACGTACTCAAGTTTATTTCAGAATTTGACAACACAAATTAGATACTCTGTACACCTCTTACATCCAAGAGTAAACGTACACTAGAAAGAAACAGAGTGGAACGATATTGCAGAGATATTATAATGAGGTAACCGTGCATATGAGAACTCAAACGAATAACTTTTTTTTTTTTTGAATAATGTAGTCGTGATTTTGGCCAAATTTTTGGGAGAATGATGCTACAGAATTTGCAACCACTGCCGTAGGCGGTAGTGACTGTTGAGTCGAATTTTCCAGCAATTGGACGTCGGTCGGAGTTTGTCATTTGAAGTAGATAACAACAAAAATTTGGCCAAAATCGATGAAGAAAATAAGGGTTTCAGTCCCAATGTTCACGCACGCGGGTCAAATGAATCAATAATTAAATGCTTAGATCAAGGAATTACCCATCAGTAGTGTTTTTCAACTCCCATCCAGCTAGATCCGCTGCTTCTTGCAAAGCCTCTCTCCATTTGTCCGCCTTCTCGTGGTTAGTATGTTTAGAGAAGGCTTCTCCAACTGCCCCGCTTTGTTTGCGGACTTCCGTTGGTTCGACATCATAGAAGACGGGGTAGGGCAGTATGCTCGGTTGTATTGTGACAATCCATTATCTTTACAAGCTCATCCAAGCACCAAGATGAAGAGGCATAATTTTTGGAGAAAACAATGATGTAGAATTTTGATTCTTCAATGGATCCGATGAGCTCATCACTGATTTTTTTCCCTTTCTTAATTCTCTCGTTGTCTTTGTAAGTATGAATGCTTTTTTGCTGAAGAGCAGTATAAAGATGATCAACGAAATTCGCTCGAGTGTCTTCGCCTCTGAAACTCAAAAAGACATCATACTTATAGCTCTTGTCAACGGATGAAGTTGAACATGATGCCATTGAAGGTAAAGATCAAATGTTTGATAGGAAAATGTATGTTAGAAAGGATTGAAAAGAAGCTTGGATGAAGGTAATCGGACAGGGAATTTGTTTGGAAAAGACAAAATTACAAGAATGGTTATGGTATGTTAAAACTATCAAGTTTGGACCCGTGGTCCAAAAGTTTTATTGTGTTGCGAGTTTAGTCCAAAATTTTCAAAATTTTTTTTAAAGACATATTTTCTCTTGGTATTTTTCTTTTTTAATTTTTTTACTATATATATATATATATATATATATATCATACCACCTTTTTTTTTCTTTCTCTCTCTCTATGATGCAAGACCACCACCTCTTGCTGGACCACCACCACTTATCGGACCACCCTTGTCACCGGAGACTCTTTTTTTCACCGGACCACCCCTATCACCTCCGTCCAGCCGACTCTGCAACGTAGCTGGATTTGAAAGCCTTAAACTTCGTCGCCACCGCCACATTCCACCTCAAACGTAAGAAACCACCAGAGCCACGTCTGTCGTCGCTTATCCTTCTCTGACGAGCCTCCTGTGTTTGTAGAAGATGAATGACAGTGACGATGACGAGCCTCATGTGTTTCGCTGGATCACACATTCTTGTTTATTCTTTACAACTCCTGTTCATCATCACCTTAACCAAAAAAAACCCCACCAACTACTCCTTCTGTTTCTACCTCCTTATACTCGAACCATCACCAATCCACCTTTTAGCCACAACACACCACCATCTGCCACCTTGTAACAACTGGCAACAACCTTCCTTCGAAAACCCACCACCGATCGAGAACTTCCATGTCCTCGTCATCACCCACCTGTTCTCGGTTTTCAATTTTTTCCACCGTAAACCTCCATCATCCGCCACCTCTATTTGCTCACATCACCGAACCGCCGTTTGCCACCTCTAGTTGTCATCCCTTACTCCATTCGAACCCTTAGCTACACCCAAGAAAACCACATGTTAAAATCGGTAACCATCTTCCTTCAAAAAACATCACCTCCGTCACCCTTCACCTTAAACAACCGAGAAACCATTACCTTCAAATAATTTTTTTTTGTTTTCTAAATCGTGAACCAAGTAGAAAAGAGAAAGGAAGAAAGAGGGTGTGATTTTTTCGGAGCTTTCTGGAGACGCTTCAAAGGTGGAGAGTTTTGCGCTCCATGAAAAAACGATAGCGACAAAACCCTAGCTATTCAGGTGACGGCGGCTTCAGATCAATTAGGGTTTTCTGCAGGTGACGACGACTTTGAGATCAAAGGTTAATGGTGGCAGAGACGATGGGGATTGAAGACGATAACTCTAATCGGAGCTGGATCTGCAATGGTGTATTCTTCAGCTCTTGATTTTGACTTTAGAACAAGAAACCATTCATTAGATCTGATTTCGACTTTAGAACAAGAAACCCCAAAAAGATTGATAGCAAACCCATTGACAACCATTAGAGCTCCGATTGAAGCTAGAAAGAGAGCATCGATTTTTAATATGTACAAAATTTTCACATGCCACTGAAGCTTTCATCGGGGGGGGGGGGGGAGAGAGAGAGAGGGGGGTGGGTGGGTATTGTTTTTTTTCTTTTTTAATTTATATAATAAATAAAATTAAAAAAGGAAAACTACCAAGGGCAAATATGTCTTTAAAAAAAGTTTTGAAAATTTTGGACTAAACTCACAACAAAATGAAACTTTTGGACCACCATTGCGAGTCCAAACTTGCTAGTTTTGACATACCACAGGGACCATTCTTGCAATTTTGTCTTTGGAAAAAGCGTGGAATTAAAGCTGTGACGAACGAATTTTCTATGTAATTTTTTTGGGAAATGACACAAATGTTCTAAAGTTTTTAGGGTTGGTCGATTCATGTCTTAAAAATTTTTTCGGGCTTTATGGATCCCTAAACTAGGATACGACCTGTTCTTTTAGTCCATGTCAACCTGTAATAGCCGATTCACCATACGACAGTGACCATTTAGACCAAAAAAACTCACATTGTGCTCCTATAAAGCCAAAAAAATAAATTCAGGGATTAAATGCTTATGCCATAAGATCGAAGAAACAAACTACTGGATTTCACTTAATTAGATGAAGAAACATGTCTGTTGATGTCAGGATCTTTCAAAATTCCTACTCCAATATCTCATTCTATTTCTGAAACTGAGGGTTTCTTCTCATTTTCTCATTTTTAGGTTTCTTCTTCTCCCAAATAACTTCGATCTTGTGGCATAAACGTTTGATCTTCGAACTTATTTTTTTGGATTTATAGGGGCACAATGTGAGTTTTTTTGGTCTAAATGGTCACTGTCGCATGGTGAACCTACTATTACAGGTTGACAGAGACTAAAAGAGTAGGTCGTATCCTAGTTTAGGTACCTATAAAGTCCGACAAAAACTTTATGGACTGAATCGACCAACCCTAGAAACTTTATAGGGCATTTTTGTCATTTCCCTTAATTCTTTAATACCCAATAATAATTTATAAATAATTCATTGACAAAACTTCAAAAATGGTCCCTGTGGTTTCCGGAAATCTGAAGTTTAGTCCATAATCTTAAAAAAACCTCACAGATGGTCCATGTGGTTTCAAAACTTTTAACAAATGGTCCTTTCGCTAATTCCGTTAGGTTTCGGCCGTTAAATGAAGGGTATTTCTGTCATTTCACTACCACATGGACCATTTATGAAGTTTTGCCTTATTTTTCTATAAAAAAGAAAAAAAGATAATTATTTAATATTAAAGGGTCCCACCCCTCTCTCTCTCTCTCTCTCTCTCTCTCTCTCTCTCTCTCTCTCTCTCCTGTACGTCTTCTTCCTAAAAAGAACACACCCTTTTGATCTCCTCCCTCCTTCTTCACTTCATCATAAACTCCAAAACCTCACTCACTTCTCACTCTTCATACACAGAAAGAGCGCATCCTTTTGCGATTTGAAGCAACCCCCACATAAATTCATATTTCCACAAGCTTGATTTCATATGGGTTTTGAATCTCTCGAGCTTGGCACGACTCTCTTCTCTCTCAACTACATTCACATCAAGAAGCCTCAATCGCTCTATTTCCTTCTTCATCAGTTTCTGTCTACCATGCACCCACTGCCTTAAACCCTAACCTCCCCCTATTTCCCCGGGCACCCACCTTCAGCGGAACCTTATCCGACCTGCAACAATGGCCGAATTGGGCGAAAACCTTAGTGTCATCTGTCGGTTCATCTTTCATAGATTCAGATAACGGACCAGACTCCGAAAGTTTCCACAAAGAACTTAATTGGCTGATCGAAGATGCTCTAGAAAACCCAAAACCATTACTAACCCTCAACGAATCCAAACACAACACTGTTTTGCAATTAAGAGCTTACTTGGGTGATCTTTACTCTTTATGGGGGATTTGGTTCTGAGTGTCGAAGAAGGTGTACTGATTCCAAGGCCTGAAACCGAGTTAATAATCGATCTGGTGGAAGATGTGATCAAGCAGAGTCAAGAATTGAGTGAAGGTTTGTGGGTGGATTTAGGTACCGGTTCTGGTGTAATAGTTATTGGAATCGGGAGGATTTCATGGATTAGGATTGAGAGAGAAGGTGGGTTTATGTGTATATTTTCAACTTCTTTGATTATACATCTGTGTGTATTGAGTTCAGCTCCAATTTGGATTTCAATTAGAAGTAAAAACATTCATGGTGATTTTCTTAAGTTGCACACCAACTGTTTGTGGAAATGCCCCAACGACATCACTTTGTTCACACCCCAAGCTAGTTGTTTCTTGTTTCACAGCTTCGCCATAACAAAGATGATGATCAGATGAAGATGAACATGGTAGAGAGAGATGTTTAAGTTTGTATATGAAATTTGATATGAAATTAAAGTTGGATATGAAATTAGAGTTCGATTCCATTTTCTTTGACAGTTTTGCTTCAAAGTTTTTTAAAAGGGTGTGTTCTTTTTAGGAAGAGAGAGAGAGAGAGAGAGAGAGAGAGAGAGAGAGAGGTGGGACCCTTTAATATTAAATAATTGCATTTTTTCTTTTTTTTTTTTAGAAAAATAAGGCAAAACTTCATAAATGATCCCTGTGGTAGTGAAATGACAGAAATACCCTTCATTTAACGGCTGAAAGCTAACGGAGTTAGTGAAAAGGACCATTTGTTAAAAGTTTTGAAACCACAGGGACCATCTGTGAGGTTTTTTTAAGATTAGAGACTAAACTTCAGATTTCCGGAAACCACAGGGACCATTTTTGAAGTTTTGTCTAATTCATTTAACTTTCTATTTTTATCACTTGCACTACTACCGTTGTTGTTGTTGTTGTTGTTGTTATTATTATTTTGAAACGAGGAACAAGGTACATACAAGAAACATATTACATTTTACAAATGCCAAATTTAGAAAATCAAAATGGACAACAACTTTAATCTATCCAAGATCGATTAATTTACTTGTCCCTGTGTTTACACCAAATATACACAAATATACGAGAGTGAGATAATGTTATCTGCAGTCTTGGTGGAAGAACCGATTTTGTTGAATAACTTATTATTTCTCGTATTCCAAAGTAAAAGATAGTAATGGGTATTTTCTGCTTTTTGGGGAAATTACCCCGGTCACCTGTGAAGTCAATGAAGTCTACCACACCATTAAATTGAGGAAAGTGTTGTAACGTCCCAAATTTCAAACCAATTTTTTTTATTTTAAAACCAAATTAAACACTCAAAACTCATTCCTGAAAACACATTATATTATTCATTATTTCAAAAAGATAATCCCTTGGTACTTACACATTCAACATTATTCAAGATTTCTTCTTTTAGCAATTGCAATGGCTAATTAATGGTTCAATTCATTTTCCTTTTAGGCATGGAATATGTGAACTGAGAAACCCTTGGACATATGGACCTAAATTTGTGACCCAATGGCTAATCCAGCCAGGAGGAAGCTATACATACATGTTCACTATAATTAACCGAGAGGGAACATTATGGTGGCATGCTCATAGCAGATGGCTACGAGCTACATTATATGGTGCACTTGTTATTCGACCTAAGTTGGGTTCTTCTTACCCCTTCCCAACACCTAAAATCGGGATTCATGTTGTTCTATGTACATAATTTTTTAATCAGTTTTTGAACTTTGTGACACAAAACAGTGACTAGTTAATCTTTGATTATTTTGATTATTAAACAGGGAAATGGTGGGATAGAAAGGTCATCAGTGTCTTACGAAAAACCTTATTCATAGTTACAACTCCCAATTTTTATGATGCTTTAACCATTAATGGCCAACCTGGCGATGTTCTCACATGCTTGACTAAATGAGTCAAATTTAATAGTGCATTTATTTCCACAAGTTAAACGACGAACATATATGAGATCATTTTATGATTTGTGGAGTTATACAAATGTTTTTGTAACATTCATTATACATGTAAATTACACTTTTGACCCTTATTATGAAATATTATTGCAAGAATGGTCCCATGGCCCCATTAGTGAAACACGCAACTTTGATGCGTACGCTGGGCGTACGTGGCAAAGTAAAAACTCTAATTTTTAGGGTTTGAGCATTATTTAAGCATCATTAACTCCCCCAAGACTCCTTCTGTAACATCCCAAAAATTT